CTTATAATGAAAATAAATAAATTTCTGAAACATTTCGTTCTTTTCTCTTTCTCTCTCTCCAGCTGTGGCTGTCCTGGGTTGGAGCGGATCTGGGAAGCCGACCTGGAAGCGTGTCACCTGTTCCTTCGAGGCCTGCAGCTGCGAACCTCCAGCTGCGGCGGCCCAGACGTGGACGATGCCCCCGATCCGGTGGTTTATACCTCCACCCATCCCTCCACCAAAGAAGAAGAAGACTGCGCCATGCTGACTGCGTTAGGAGGCCGCTGGTGTCCTGAGGCCAACTTGCAGAACTCAGAGTTCACAAAGGTAACAGTGAATGTATTCTTACCAACACAACATGCATTATTCATGTACATTCATGCTGCAGTGCATAAGATATATGAAGTTTCTTGAATGTATAAGATCCCCCCTCTCTGGCTTTAAGGCAGGATAGTAACATAACCTACGCTTGCCACCAAGAGGTCAAACTGAAGCACATGTTTTTAGACTCAGCTGCATTTTTTTACATGTAATGTGGTGTGAAGCGTGGCCTCAAATAAAGCATGCCTGCTTTGTCAGCGTCCCACTTGACTGGAGAGGACGTTTTCAGTTCACACCGCTGTGAGAGCCTAAAAATCTGCCGACCACAGAGAGTTGAGCAGCAGCCTATTAGCCTGTTAGCTCGGAGGCATTTCTGAGGGAGGTGGCCGTTTGGAGACGCCACCAAAGGGCTTCATTCAATACACCGCTGAATTTCAGAGTCGGTTTCTACATGTTTACATGTGTTTAGTGTAAAGCAGGCGTGTGTGTGAGTTTTTTTTTTAACCCGACTGAGAGGAGAGGTCCCGCCGCCTCAGGGTCGAATCGGACTCGCTCTGTCCTGTTCTCGCCCTTCCCTCCGCCCACACGGCCTGATAGACTCATCTGAGGCAGGAACAAAGCCAGCAGTGGAAGAAATAACTCCGACATGTTTTAATCCTTGGCTACTCTGGATTGTGATTTAACCAAATGGTTTTCTATAATTTTGCTAATTCAGATATGTGACTTCACTGATGCATTGCAATAAGTTTAAATTTCATAATCTTTCTCTGAGAGCATAATATAATCCCTTGCATGTATTAAAACTCATTTATTTTCTTGCACTCTTTAAGCCTTTTAACTTTTCTTAAACCTATTTGCATCCATTGAGGTACCTTCTGCGTTGATGTTTACCACTCCCGTCTCCTGCATTTTACAAACTGCATGCAGTCATTTTCTCTGCCTGCTTTGTCTCTCTGTCTTTCTTTTCTTCCAAAAGCCCCCAGGCTCATCCTAACGTCTCTCCAACAGCTAAAAAGGTGAGACAGGGAACCATTTCTCTCTTTTTGTGTCAAGGATACTCAGTTTTCCTCTTTCTCTGCAAAAGAAACCCTGAAAGGAAAATAAAAAAAATATTTTGTGGCTCATGTTTATGGTAAAGATGTTCAGAAAGTCGTCAAATTCATATATTATGGCAGAATTTTAGACTTGAATGTGGATGTTTTTCAGTGGGGGAGATAAAAATCCTTATTGTTTTGAATCAAATTGCAAGTGTCAAGTACTTTGGTTCCCTGTTATTAATTTCAAATAGGACAACACTTAGTCTAATGTAATATTTCATAAGGTTGGAACACAAAGAGAGAAAGGGATCCTTCACCATTTCTCTTTGCAAAAGATTACTTTTTAATAGAGATATTTTGCAAATGAGCTGAATGAATCATGTTTTTTAAATGAAAAAACTCCAGTTGATAGTTTGTGCTTTGCAGTGCGATTTATCTATTTCTTTTGCAAAATATTTGCTTTTTCTGCTATTAAAATTTTCGTGTACATTTCTTAACCGGGTTGCAATTTTGCCTTCCAGCTGCAATCATACTTTGCTTCCCTGCAGGGTTGGAAATAATCATTTTGTGAATGAACTCTTACTGCTGGTCTGCTGTGTTTACCTGAAAGGAAAAAACGACTAAGGCCTCCGTTTTTAATTAAAACCGCTGATTATTATTTGTTGCCTCTCTTATGAACTTTCCCTTAAGCCACAAACAATACACCGGCCTGCAAGAGGAACGGTAATTACTTCCCTCCTTAGTGGGGAACGCGCGATTACATATCTTGAATACAAACAATAAAAACCTGCAGCAAAGATAATACAAATATTCGTTGTCCTTTTTTTTTTTTCATTATTATGCTTGAATTGGGGATAAATAATCACGACCTCTTCACAATATGATGATGCTGCACACATGGAGCCCTCAACCGGCATAATTGGAGTTTTAATAATTCATGAGCAGGTTTTCGACTGAATGACCTCAACAAACGTTTCCCTCTTTTGTTGCAGAAGCTGGAGGAGTTTTTGTTCTGCATGGAGGAAAACCACCCAGAGGTTGGTATCCTGAACGCTCTCGCTGGATGTCATCGCTGTGATTGAAGTGTGTTGACCTCGGTTGATGCAAAAGAATCCGATAGTTGACTTCAACTTAAATATGACCCATGACAACTTTCTCACTGTCAGATCAATATTTTCTACACGAGAAGCCTTGGCTGCGTTCCCAGACTGTGTTTGGTTTTTATTCATCTGGACGAAGCTGGGCGTCTCTTTGCTGAGCTTGTAGTTTCTTTTCAGCACTTTTAAACATTTGTATTGTTTCTTTTCATTACAAACACAAATTTATTCACACCAAATATCAACCTGCACAAGGATTTACTATGTGCAGGAAGCTTAATTATGTGATTTCAGTTGCAACAGCATGAAAATTGCCTCCAAAAATACAGTATCCGGGGTTTACCCTGGATACTGGCTTAAACCAGTATCCAGGTTTAAGCCTGGTGCCCGGGGCGCTAGGGCAGTCATCCAGCCAGCAGCCATGTTTTTGAGTGAAAAAATGTTTAAAGTTGACAGGAAATTTGAAAATATTACTTGATAGTTAATCATCTTTGGAAGATTAAAACCTAAACCCCAATTATAAAGTCTTAAAAAAGGTAATCATAAACCCCCCCCAAAAAACAATGCTAAGCCTGGTGGGGGCACAAGTAAAGCCTGGTGGCCCGCCAGGCTTATAATACACTGAGGGAAACCCTGCTATTTGTCAAAAGTGGTTTGCTTTTTTATTTTGTGATTTTATGTGACCAAAGCAGTGAATAACTGTGAAGTAAAATCCTGTGTGTTTTTCAAAATATATTTACAAATAAGTTTTAGAGTACATAATGCATTCATTCCCTCTGAGCCAAGTAAAGTTAGAACCACATGTATGTCACAATTATAGCCATAAATCTTTTGGGATATTTCTCAACCGACTTTGCATATTTAGATAATCAAATTGGTAATCTGAGACTCTGTAATCTTGGGCAAAATTTCTATATTTAGAACTAGATCTTTCATATACTGGATAATACTGGGATGAAACCCATTTCATTGTAGTTCTAGCTCTGTGTTCGGGGTCATTGTTCTGCAGGAAGGTGAACTTTTGCTCCAGTTTCAAATCTATTCCAAATCTTTCCTGATTGTCCTTCGCTTACCTCTGTTCGTCTTCAGGTATGGCCAGTTTATGACTCTGCCTGATGAAAAACATTGGAACAGATGTTCTTCATGGTGTGTTCAGGGGGATGTGGAATAATGGACACCACTGATTTACTATTTAGAACAATTTGATATTTTGTTTAAAACAAAAGGTTCAGTTTAGGTCAAAATGACTGTAAATTTAGGTCATGATGGATTGAGCAGAGACGTTCAAAGCTTGGAATATAAAATAACCTTACTTTAAAGCACGGTTATCAAACTCATTTTCATTTGGGCCATATCAAGAATCTGAATGTTCTTACAGGACCGGTTGTGCCAGAATATGTTGATAAAGCCAACTAAACTGTTAAAGTATCAATAAATGGCTCATACCAATTTTGTGTAAAAGAATCACTAAATTTTGTGATTCTTTTAGTGGGTTTTGCAATCAAAATTCCAGATTTTGTGGTGCCAGTTTAGAAATGTTTGTAAGGAATTTGCACTAATGTGACTTTTTATCATTCGCTTTATCAATTACAGACTATAACTTGACATAAGTAAGGCTGAGGCAGCAGTCAATTAAAATTTTGACCAATTTTGAGAAACTTTGCAGTAAAATCAGTAAAAATTCTAAAAAAAAAACAAAAAAACCCCAAAAACATCCAGTCTTTTTTTTAAAATATATATAGTTTTTTGTCTAGAAAGTGAGCAGTGTCAAAAACCTTACGAAATGTAAAGTCACAAATCAGCAGGCACTGCCCCGTTACCTAGCAACCCCAGCAAAGCACAGGCCGTTACCTAGCAACCCCAGCAAACTGAAGCGAAGGGAGTCAAAGGAGCTTGTGACAAATCTCAAATATAGGGCGGGGTAGACCTGAAAGACATTAATAAGCAAACATTTAACAGAGTTTTTCTTCAGTTTTTAAAGAATAATAGGTAGACTACAGTGATGTGTGTGAAAAAGAGGTATTAGTTATGAAACGTCCCGCTGTAATTTGTGTTGGTCTGTCATATAAAATCCCGCTTAGATAGACTGTGGGGCTTTCAATATGATGAAATGTGGAAGGGCTCCAGGCGGTTGGATACTTTACATTATGTTTGTATGTCCTTGTGAACTCTTAAATCACTCTGGGTTATAAAATCTGGCTGATGTACAAAAAAAACAACAAAAAAAAACGATTCAGTCACAATAAAGTATGATGCATCACTGAGTCAAAGGATCTGATGGCCGTTTAATGGGGCCGGTATCGTTCTCGTCATGGTGTTGTGATAGTGCCGCGCAGGAGCCGGATTCTCTGCTGAGGCTCTGACCTCTTTCTCCTTTCCATAATGACTTTAAGTAAATGATTTCCACTTAGCTGCTGCCAGGCTGCTGCCCTGCTGCCACAATGGAGATTGATTGGTGTGTGTGCGTGCGTGCGTGCGTGCATGCGTGCGTGCGTGTGTGGGTGTTTCAGCCCTCTTATGTTTTCTTTTAATCCCCGCTAATTGTTCCTTTATCATCTCAAGGTCCTCACACGCCCCCCTTCACAATGGTTCACAACGGCAAACAAGAATTAAACCGAAATGCTGAAGGCTCAATAATTAGCTTTGTTGATTACAAAACAGATCCTGGATCCTGACTAAATAACCTGACTTTTATATTTACTTCTCAGCATGCACTAATGTAGCATGATGTGACTCTTAAAGTTTTAACACCAAATTTATGTCGTCTTAAAACGAAACAATGATAAGGTTATTGAATTATACAGCGTCTATATTGCATGAAAGGTAAAAAAGATTTTAAAAATATCTTATCTCTCTTTTCTTAAGTTTCACTTCAGAATTAAAAGAAATGCAAAATTCAGGTAGCTGCTGTTCCAAGATAAAATGAACCAGAGAAAGACCAGTATTTGTTTAAATTTCACAAAATCTGCATTAAAGCCAAGAGTTATTCATTCACTTTGCACTTTAATAAACATAGATTTATATTTTAACACAATTCTTCTTATTGGAAGTGATATAAACATTTTAAAATGGCTCACCAAAGAATATTTGTGGAGAAAGCTAAAGATTAGTGTGATAATGAGGAGACCTTCCAACTTTGGAGCTCATCATAAGATATATAATTTAAATTTAGAGCAATTTTGATTGCTCTAAATCCCATAGATATTTCACCACTGATTATTGAGAATGGTATCAGTGATTCCTAAAATGCCGTCTTTTAATAAAACGTAAATATAAACACGTATTTTTCAAAATTGATATGATATTTCTATCATATTTGTGCTTCTTTATACAAAATTTTATTAATTAAGTCTAAATCTGCCAGAAGTATGAATAATTTTGGGTTAAACTGTATCTAGTTATATTGTTCGTTTGTGAAACAATCTTGCTGGCTTTTGCTTAAAGCAGACAAAAACTTAGATTTTTGTGGCCTGTATTTCTATTTAGACATGGATCTGAGAGATTCCAGCTTCCTGCACATTAATGGCGTCCACCTTGCCAATCTTTAAACTGGTGTATGAATGTGTGCTTCTGTGTGTGAGTGGATGAATGAGAATAAGTGCTTTAGTGAGTCATTAAGACTAAAAGTGCAGCCCATTTACTGTGCATTGATTTCTTTAATACTGCAGTATAAATTACCTGTAAGCATTCACAAGCTTTGACAAATCAATAGCTTTCAAATTCTGCATCTTCCTCCACATATAATTGCCACTTTTCTAATTCCTGAAATCTTCCTGCATTGACTTAATGCATTATACAGAACGTAGATGGTAAATGGATGCATTTCCTAATAACATCTCAGTGCAAATTGAAGATACTGCTTAATCATCTGCTACTTAATTTCTTGTTTAACACGAATGCAGGAAAGTTTTTTTTTTTTTTTTTGTTTTTTTTTCCCTGAAACCAATTACAACCTCAAGTGTAACCCCGGTGCAATATAAATTGTTTGTATTGTGCGCCTGAGAAGTATCCGGCAGAACAACACCTGGGGGAAGCTGCAAAATTACCTTCTGCCTCTCGTTCATTATTGCTTAAATAATCATACTAAGGCATGCATAAGTTTGACTACTGAAATCATAAACAATTTCTATCAGCTTTATGCTACTCTAAGTGCTTTAATATTAGCACTAACATGGAGAGAGAATTACAGAGACTACAGGTGTATGCTTTTAATTCATTAATGCAAATTAGCGTCTCACTAAAATCTCATTTATGATGTTTTTCTTCTTTGTTGCATGGACAGTAATTGGTTTGAACACCAATTGGAGCAAATTATAGCCTTTGGATTATGTATTTTTAAACGGTTTGTGTGCGGAGAGAGAAAAATGTGTCATTATCGTGCAGAGTCAGAACTATTGGTGACCTAAGTTGACTCATTTCTGCGGCGATCCCAGCATTGCATCAAGTCAAGCTGGAGGACATATTTGTGCTACTATTTCTCCTCTTAAAATTCCTCAAACATGGAGAATGATATTGTGGACTGATTGTATCTCTTTGCCCAAGTCTTCCTTAATTCTGCAGTTGCATCAGGAATGATATGCTCACGTTGTCGGGCCTCGGGCCTCTTGATGTTTTACGTTTCTTTGGGGTGTTACATCATCCAAAACGGGGTGCGCAATTACAGGCAGAGACCAGATCCAACTTTCTGGTGATTGCTCTGACACCTCAGAGCTGCAGGGAGCTGATATTTTTTTACCTGCAGCTATGAGTCAGATTAGGATCCCTGTGTGGTGTTTGAGGAAAAAGTTGGGTTTTTGTGCATGTCTGTGCCCCAGCGTGTGTGTTTGGGTTCTCTATGCCTGATAAGTGTTAAGAAACTGGGACACAATGTCTGCAGAGGGGGCTGGTCTAATTATGGCCAGCCATACTCTGAGTGCTCTGTCCTACTGCACTCTGCACCTCCATCAAGCTGCCATCCTTCAAAACACACTCTGTACTGCTGCATTCGCTGCTGCAATGTATAGATACATTCTGGTTCTTCAGATAAATTTGATATGACGTTGCCAAAACATTTTAAAACAAGGAGCAGGTTCAAAAGGAGATTATTCTGTATATCACTGTTCTTTACTGATTAAATTAGAAATATAATTGGAAGAAGAAGTCGTCTAAATTAGTGAAACAAGACATTTTCTCCATGTAATATGTTTATATAATACATTATGTATTATTACAAACTCATATTACAAGTCATTTTTCCTATATCCTAAGATATAATGTGGGAGATTATATCTTAGGATATGGAGATTATTAAACTTATGACTGAAAACTGTATAATGACCGTAAATCAAATCAACAATATCAAGAATTATTGATCAGTTTTTTGTTTTAAATATATGAAATATTGTTGATGTCACAGTGCTTATTCTATCCACAGCTCTCAATCCACACCATTTGTTTGTTTTTAAGCAGTTATGGGCACGGTGGAAAAAAACTTAAACTGCTGCAGTGCACGTTACTCAAGAGGTTGTTGCTAGGTAACTAAAGAGTGAGTGGGTTGCTAGGTAACCAAAAAGGGAGTGAATGAGTTGATTCCACCAAACTTGCTTAGTTGACAGTGAGAGATTTAGTGGCCAAAGCTTTTTTTTCTACAAACATGTTATATTGATCGCGTATCTATTGCAATATATTGCTATTGATTTATTGTTTAGCCTTACTTATAACTAGTACTTTTTTTAATCAAAATTACAGAATTATTGACTTTAAACAAGCTCATAATAACTTCTCTGTTAGTTTTGTGTCATTTCAAGTGTACTAAGATGTTTGCACTTGAAACTAGACCAAAAATATTTGGTAAGATTTTGTGTTTTTGCAGGCGGTGCGGTTCTGAACGCTTTTTCATGGTCCTGCAGTGCATATTCAGCTGCCAGCTGGAGGTTCACTGGACAAACGGGGTTAAACACGAATCGCTAATGCACTCGTATGCTTCATGCCACAAGCAGTGACATTTTGTTTTGTCCGCCAATTCAATTTCAATTCAGTTTATTTATATAGTGCCAAGTTACAACAAATGTCATCTCAAGGCAAGAAAATGGCCAATAAAATAGTATGGATCAGTTTTATTGGGCTTTTATTAATTGAAAACAGGCAAAACGTACCAAACCTCACCGACCTGTACTGCTCAGCGCATATGAAACAAAAGATGAAATGTTAAAACCTGTGTAAAAATGATTTGATTCAACCGCTCTGAACTTCTCTTTGGCAGCAATAACATCAACATTACTTCAGTTGTAATCTGCTATGCAGACCCTCTGTCTGCGCTGATGAAGTTTCTCTCACCTCTTGAAATCCTGTTCAATAGTTTTGTTTTACTGCTGTATGTTTTACTTTTTTATACAGTTCACCACAAAACCTTAGGTTGTGTAAATTTGGGGTTCATAATTTACATAACTAATGACGTTCTGTTGAGGTGATGATGGTTGTGTTTTGGTCTTTTCAGTATCAAACACATATTTCAGAAGAGTTAGATTTTTATTTGGTTCTTCTGCCTTTTCTGTACCGTCCAGGATGTGTGCAGCGAGGCCGACGCTGCAGACCTGACGGAGCGCTGCGAGCTGATCGGTGACCGACTGATTGCCTTGGAGGACAAACTGCAGACGGCTATACTGAATCGGGATCAAGCCCTCACCCATATCCTTCCAGTTCAGCCTAAATGTTTAAAAATCCTGCGTTTCTTTACGTCTGTCCCTTCGGATCCTCTCAAGGCTTTTTGACTTAAAAGTAAACAGCAAAACCACTCAAACACTGACGGATGTTTGCTTTACCGACTTTACCTTTAAAGGGGAAAAAATGTCATATCTGATTTCATGAATCCATTTTAGGGAGAGAATAAAGGATAGACAGCGATTAGTTTTGAGGTTTTTTTCCTGGAAGACTGGCTGTGCCAACTGGAAAATGAAATAGTAAAAGTCCATGTGAGGTTATTAGAGGGCTGCTGATGTGCGCTGCCATTCACGACGGGCTGAGATTAAAGCGGGTCAATGGGGGCTGGGCCCGGGCAGACAGAGGAATGTCACTGTAATGACTCTGGTGCTGTCATATCTTACCGACCATCCTCCAGCTGACCCTCCTGTCCTCTCCCTGCTCTCCCTTTCCCCATCTGCCCAATTCCACTTTCTGGGTCTGGCAGAGAGAAAATTACAATATCCGTGATAATGACTCGTATCAAACTGTTCTGGCTGATTACAGGTCACAATACATCATTCTCTGCGCTAATTAGAAAGCTGATTGGAAATAGATTAGTGTGTTTTTCCGGCTCCACCTTTCTCTCCCCTCCTGTTTTTACTGTGAGATCATATTTTAGAAGCAAAATGAAGAAAATCTGCCAACTAACAATTATTTCCTCAAACAGTGGACGGGAGATCTTATCTGGACCCAGGTCCGCTGTGATTGAATATTTATTTAACTGTGCCTCTCTCAACTAATGCACAATAATAATTTTTTATGTGCCTGGCTTTTCTAGTTTGAACAGTACACGGCGAAACATAGCTGGAGCTACAGGTAGCATGGAAGTACAGATAGAAATTTTATTTAATAGTGTTCAGCCAGACAATACGACTCAAAAATGTAAAATAATATAAGCATTTAATATCAGTCAATATCAATAATTATTGATTCGGTTTTTGTTTTAAATATCTGAAATATTGACAAACTGAGGCATGACCTCTCCTGTTTTTCATGCCACGCCTTTGTTGTTTACTTTTAAATAATTATGAGGCACAAATGAGAAAGCTGAACCTACTGCTGATTCAACAGGTTGTTGCTAGGTAACCCCATGTTACTCAACAGGTTGTTGCTAGGTAACCAAAGAGTGACTGAGTCAGATCATGCCACCAAACTTTCTTTTGCTTAGAATGCTATGCGGTTCTGGATTAATGAAATTATTAAATATTTTAATAGAAATATTATGTATTGGTATTGTTTATATGTCTGTTACAAAATGTATCATTTTTGATTTATTGTCCAGCCTTAATGAATATTCCATTTAAAAAATTACATACAGACTCATACAATAACTTAAAATATTATTGAAAAGTCAATTAATTTCAGGAACTTTTTCCCTGATTGAACTAAACTATATAGATGAAAGAAGAACAGATGCTTAGAAGTCTTTATTTCTGTTGATGATGATTTCCTGCTTACAGTTCATAAAACACTGACATTTAAAATTAGAATATTACAAAAGACCAATTAAAAACAAATTTTAAAATCAGAAATGTAGGCCAAAAGATGATTCATCATGCAAAAAAAATGACATTTTGGAAGTCTTTATACTTCCATTTGGGTCTCAACTGCTTCTAAAATCTGCCAACAGCTAACAGCAGCTTATTTGACAAAGGACCTAAAACAACTCATAGTTTACTCCAGAACGCTGCTGCTTGCGTTCTCACCAAAACCAGGAAGATAGAGCACATAACACCAGTTTTAAAGTCCCTACACTGGCTCCCTGTAGCTCAGAGGATAGACTTTAAAATACTGTTGTTAGTTTATAAATCACTGAACGGTTTAGCACCACAATACATTAAAGATCTGTTATTGCTGTACCAACCGTCTAGACCCCTCAGATCTTCTGGTTGTGGTTCTGCTCTGCATCCCCAGAACCAGAACCAAACGAGGAGAAGCAGCATTCAGTTTCTATGTACCACAAATCTGGAACACACTTCCAGAAAACTGTAAAACAGCTGAAACACTGAGAGCCTTTAAATCTCAACTTAAAACCCACCTGGTTAGAGCTGCTTATGGCTAAATTAGGGTTAGAGTGGGGTTTGATGTCTTTGATGTTTTTAATGTTTTTATCTTTACTTTTTATCTATTTATTAATTCCTTTTTATTTCTCTTTCTCACTGTTTACGTTTTAATGATATAAAGCCGCCCGGAAAACATCCCAGTTAAACGACATTTAACTAAAGTCCTACAGGGGTTAGAGCCCCAGTTAAAAGATGTTTAACTAAAGTCCTACGGGGTTTAGAGTCCCAGTTGACGGCGTTTCAACTAAAAACCTAGAGGTTGGAGTCCTTGTCAAACGGTGTTTTTGACTAAAGTCCCAGAGGGTTTGAGTCCCAGTTAAATGACGTTTAACTGAAGTCCTAAAAGGGGTGCGGGTTTTAATGTTTTTTATCTTTTTAAATCTTTTTCAAAATGTCTTTCTCTTTCTCACTGTTTTTTATTTTAATTATGTGAAGCACTTTGAAATGCCTTGCTGGTGAAATGTGATATACAAATAAAATTTGATTGATTGATTGATTGATGATAGGCAAATCATAGAATGACTTAGTCCAAAGGAAAAGTAATGAACATGTTTTGTATAGCCTATAAACGTATCCTAACATGTTCAAGGAAGCATAATTGGCTACCTTTAATTCACCTGCTTAAAGGTTGTTATTTCCAAATGGTACTTTTGATCTAGACTCATTAGGACGTATATTCTAATTAACTGAGTGTGATTGTAGATGTCCATATTGTTATCTGAAGTGTTTGGGGTCAATCCGCGCTCCTCCATCACGGGCGGCATACCAATGCAGACTGGCAGGTGGAAACGTACAAAGACTGACCTGCTTCTTTCCACCTCTCTGTTCCCATGTCCTCATGCGTCATTAATTTCTCATAGCAAGAACTCGCTGCACTCTGCAGTTGTGTGGTGGACTCCTGAGTACAGTGAAGATACAGAAATTGATGAGAAACTGTACTGCCTGTGATGCCGCGGTTACCGTAGTAACGGTAAGATCAAACCAGCAGACAGTAAGGGTCTTAATTGGAGCCCTGCTCTCAATAACAAGAGGTTGCATGAAATGAGGACACGTTTTTCCATCCTGTTTGGACAAAGTTGCCTCTAAACGTCGTGTCTAATTTTTTGCAGTATTCATGATCTCTTTTGGTTAATTATAAATAAGGACGTCTGCGTTTATTCAAAAAGTAAAATAAGCCATCGTGCTCCGTCTGCTCCTCCATTATGGCAATCCCTTTGCTTTGCAACTCAGTGCGGACGCTCACGGTTAATTTAAGTTTCCAAGCAGATTAAACATTCCCTCCACTGCCGCCTGCTTCTTTACCGTTTCATCAATGGTTCATGAATAATCTAACTGGGCAATCTGCTTGCATGGCTGCAAAGTTTAGATGGGCTCATAAATAGTGAATTAAATAGGGTTAAAGTGGGGATAACTTGATGATCTGTCCCAGTAATCTGTTGAAAATTGATGGCTTTATTGGGCAGTGGCTGTCCCAAACCATTACTGTTAATAGTGTTGCATTTCCCTGACATTTTGTCTGCTAGTGTGTTTTTTTTTCCTTTTACATACTAATGTGCATTACTCAGAAACATCAGATTCTTCCCTAACCGTCTCTGCACAGTGTTTGGAAAAAGAAGTGCAGGAGGTGAAATCCACCTTACAGCGCATGCTAACGCAGCTCCAGGTAGAAGAACAGCAGGAGGACGACACAGATGTTTCGGATGAGCTGGTGAAAGACGAAACTCGGGTGAAAGTAAAGGCAGAAGAAGAAGATGATGAGGAAGAAGAAGAGGACCAGTACTTCAGTGACAGCTGGGATATTTGAGATAGGCACCTGTAGCGAATTTGGGAGCGCGTACGCTAGCGGCTTGATGACAGCGTTGATGTGACCTCAAATCAGTTTACTGTACAGTTTCACAACCAGCTTATGTGCTGTAATATACTTCTAAAAGTATAAACTTTATACTTGTATACAGGTTTAAATTCAGTGAACCTCGCTGCAAAACATAGACTCTTACCAAGTATTTTTGCTTAGTTTTTCGTGCTAATAACTAAAACTCCACTGTCAGATTATTTAATAATCTAGCACTTTTTTCATCCACATTAAGGAATTGTTGACTTAATGCAAGCTTCTGAAATGTTGCTTATTGTTTAGGTTTGTCCTGTCTTAACTTTAATAAGATATTTGCACTAGAAACTAAAAAATACTTGATAAGATTTTGTTTTTGCAGAACTTTTTCAAATTTTTTCATGTTACAACCACAAACCTGTGTGTATTTTACTCTGTGTTTTACCACCACACACTATTTATTATAAAAGAGACACCATCTTTTAATCTATACTGCAGGATCTAACAGCTTTTGCCATTTGTGTTTTGTCTCTGCCAGCTCTGCACATCTGAACGCTGACTTTTTAAAAAACTTTCTTTGCAGATAGCTCAAGCTCAGTTACATTTCATGGAGCGAAGCTCTGAACAAAATTTTTAAGTTTTACTACGTATTCTCAAATGGATTTTGGTTCGGACTTTTAGATCCCATTTTGATCTAAACCATTCGATTATAGATCTGACTGCATTCTTACACTGCAAACAATGGAACATATTAAGTATTTTTGGTCTAGTTTCTAAAGCAAAAATCTTAGTATTCTTTAAATAAGACAAAACTATAAGATATAGAAGTTTGTTTTAAGTCAATAATAATTCCTTATTTTTGATTAAAAAGTACTAGATATAAAAAGGGTAAAAATATCTTGTCTGCTATAGGAATTGGGTTTAGGGATAAATCTCAACTTTAAACCTCTCTATATCTTCATCACTGTCGAATAATTAAACAATTTGTGGTTCTAATGTGAAATTGTGTAAAAATGTCCATGGAGAATCAATGCTTTTACCAATGTAAATTGAAAAATATTAAGGATTTGAAGGATAAAATATGTTTGTAAGACTCTTTCTAGTTTCTTAAACCACTTTGATCTTTTTTGAGGACCAATTTTGTGACATTTTGTTTTTATATGAAGTTGTAGTGTTAGTTTTAATTCTGCAGTCCAGCAGAGTCGGAGCATTTTAAAGAGTATTTAACGTTTGGACTCGATGCTGCCATGGACAATCTGAACACTTTTCACTGTTAACTTGTTTGTTTTTTTGCACACAAACTAAAAGTTATTTTAACATCAGAAAACTACTTTTTCCTGTGTTTTCCCTGTATATTTGCACATAATGGTGTTCATTGAGGAACTAATTTTTGTGGTGCTACAAAATGTGAGTTAACTTAAAACATTTTATTTTACACTTTGTGTGGAAAAATGCAATATTTAGGGGTTTTTTTTAAATGCAAGACATGTTCTGAAAAATAAAAATGTAAAAATTGTCTTTCAAATTTTGAAGTTTCCTTTTCATTGCCACCCTTTTGATTTATTGGTGTAATTTTACTTTAAAATGCACTTAAAGACACGACTCCTTCATCTACAGAGCAGTTTGAAGTCACTGTACGAGATTTCATATTTATTCCTAACAGAGTCTTACTAATTACATCACGTTGCGTTCAGCCTAATGTTGCGTCCTGCTGTTTTCTTCTTGGATTAAATCATGGCCCCCTCCGGTGAGTCGGGCACGCTGCCAGGCGAGTGAGGGCAGCGGTGACATGTAGGAGACATCAGTACGTTAATACGTGAACTCTTTAGGGGATACATGGCTTTCTATTGTTATCTCACCTCAGCAGCAGCTCTGTGGCTAATTGGTAGGCAGACGCACAGAGGAAGTGGTTCTGTTTGGACTCCCATCTCATTCTGGGTTGGTTGTTCTACCATCCAGCACCCTGGGCTGTAAACACAGCTGAGTGCTCAGGGCTTTTTGTTTTTTCTTCTTCTGCAACAGCAGAACACAACGTGCCGTTCTCACGTCTCTGCCAGGTTGCCGAGCTCATGCATGGCCAGAAGTCTCCACATCTACCCGCTTCAGGCAGCGTGTTAAGATCTGGAGCCCTGGCACAGCGCGCCTTCGTGCCAGACACCCCCACCTCATAACAAAATCTGAGCCTGCGCCACACTGTGCTCCACGTGGCAACTCGGCTCATAAAATGACCACAAAGAAACACGCAGATGGTTTTCAGCAGGCGGAAATGGCTGGGTGAGGTGTTTCTTAATGTAAAACGAAGCGCCACGCAGCGTCAGGGCCTTTATCGCTGCAGTCTGGTTGCCACGATGTTGGGCAGCGTTTTGTGAAGTGGACCACTTTTCTAGTATTTGTCCCTCAAAATGCCATCTGGCTTGGCCTTTTCTCTTCATAACTGTGTCATATATTAAACGTTTAGATGTCACTAAATTTAAAAAACGCAGCTCATTGTTTAACGACCTCTTATGTTGTTCATGCTTCGTTGTTTTTGCGTTCTTCAGTTTTAAAGTTATCTGGTATGGGGTTCCATTTGTATCAAAAATAAGTATGCAGCGAACGCATATGCAACATCTACATATGCATCATCTACATGCAACATAGACCAACGACATAGACCAACGACACATAGCAACGACACATCTACACATATGACTTCTACTTATTTTTGATCCAAATGGAACCCCATAATAATCTGGTGACCAAATATGAATTCCTTTAAATCACAGATTCTTTCTCTGAAAGGTCTAAAGCAGGTAATATCTTACCTGCAGTAGACTCTTCAAAAAGCTAACTCATTCACAGTTTTCATTTTCAATTAAGGCTTTTTGTGGAAAAACAACAACAACAACAAAAATATTTGATTAATATGCAAGTTACATAAAAAAATAGGGCTGGGAGGTAAAGTCGATTTTACTAGTTATTTGAATTTAAAAAAAAAAAAATCAGTAAAATTTAGCGTGTAAATTCTAAAATTTATCTGGTAAAATTTTGAATGTACCATATTCTAAAATTAAGAATTTTAAATTTCAGAATTTTAAATTCTAAATATTTACCATATTTCATAATACGATAAATTCTAGAACTTACTGTATTCTAAAATTTAGAGTTTTATAAATTTTACAGTAATATTTACTATAGGCTATTTAAATTTTAATGTAAATTTAAATCTAGTAAAAATTAAATGTATTAATGTATTTATATGGTAAAATTCTGGCAACCACAGCTGCCGGTATTTTTTTATTTATTTTTTACAGTGTAGTTCAGAGTGATGTCAGCAAAGCCAAAGCCGCCATCTTGTTTGACCTGCATAATTTACAGCTGTTGTTTATTAGTTATTTGAATTACGGTACAATGAAGGTCAGGCTACAATTTTTATTTTCTAAAGTAATAATTTCATGAGTACGCCAACAAATTTTTCAAAAATTTGTTGGCGTACTTTGAAATTGTTTAATTTCAAAAATTAAACAATTTAAATGAGGAATGTTGAGCATCTTGTGAAGTATTATAAAAACACTGAACAGAAATAAATCAGAATGAAATTATTATCATCAGCAGGACTTTATTTCGAAGAAGGAAGCAAACAAACTGAGCTGTTTTATTCTGAATAAAACAGCTTCCTTGTAATTTTTAAGATGTTTTTCTTATAAAATTGTTTTTATTCTGCTAATATTATGATTCTTGTAGCCTGCCCCTAACACTTCAGTGTTCAACTTGCAGAAGGGATGATTGAAATAAAACCCACTTTTGAAAATATTTTTCATCTTTTATAATTTCTTTTTTTAGATAATGAAAGCAAGATTCCCAAAAAAATAAAATTAAAACTGGATCTAGACTGTAAAAAAATTGTTTTTATTTATTTTTAAACCATATCGACTAGCCCTACACAAAAACGTAATATTTATTTTTGCTTCCTCTGCTCTTCCTGCAGATTTTCTCAAGATGTTGCTTCATCCAACAACAAACAATTCTGTAAATTGTTTTGTGTGTGTGTGTCTCCTTTTCTTTCAGTTCCTTAGAGATTTCTGTAATTTAAACCTGACACATTTTCCCTTTTTATCGTGCGGGTGACTTCACGTCTGATTTTCATGAGAGGTGATTCAGTACCAGGTGAACCTGCAGCTTTAGAGACAATGTATCTCTGCCAAACTGGGCTTTTATTTCATTTTTCTCTGTAGTTTCAAGAATCTCATTTAAATTTATTCTCCCTTTTGTCTCTGCCGCTGAATAAATTTACAAGATTAGTTTAAAATAAGAGAAACCCCTCAGGAATTAAACATTTTAAATAATTTAAATGGAGCTTTTCCTAATTCAAACTGCATTTTCTCTCTCAGATCAGTAAAAGACATAAGGGAAAAAATACAGACAGCTGGAAATTGCATTGTCCTTAAAATTTAACACTGATGTTTAAAATTAAACTCAATTATAAAACTTGCCCTGTGGAAATAACCAACGTAACAAGAATTTGTTTGAATTATTGTGTGGAAACCAAGAATTGAACATCATAAACTCAGACACATATATTAAGATTTTACTTTGTATTTAAAGGCTGACACATTGATCCTCTGCTCCAAGACATTTGGGTTCAAGTCTAATCATAATTTCTGCTTTTTCTGGTATTTTAAAGTCTAGAATATTCTACATATTTAGTGCTGTATAAACCACAAAGTCACTACAAGCTGTAATCTATCTCCACGTCTTAATTTGTATTATTAATTACATAATAAGCCTCAGAATAATCCTTTCATACCAATCTTATCAGCTTTAGAGCGGCTAAATCTGATCTAGTGTTATGGAGCACCATGATCTTATATTGACCCTGTGCACGTGACGTCACTGTAGCATTGATACGCACATGCGCGTTATCACAAGGTAGGACGGACTCATGGGTAGCACACGTGAACAGAACACCGGCTCCGCCATGACGGATGAACTCCTGTAAAGCCTGTTAAAAAAACGCCCATGTGGTGGCCTATTATCGCTTTTATGAAGTCGATTTTGCAGTAAAAATGATCACAAGGTGCAGAGAAAGACGAGGGTGAAAACCAAACTTGTAATTTTATTGTATACCTTTTAGAGCGATGGATAGCAGCCGTTAATCAGACTGTCAGACTTTGGTGTAATCCGCGGATTTGCAGCGAAAACTTTTTATAAGGTAAGAGGATTAACATTCATAAACTTTATAAATAAGTGGTTAGAAAGATGTGAAATATTGGCGTTGTGGCGAAGGTACCGTAACCACCAGTAACAATGGAAACAATGCCCCACCGTCATGTAGCCTAGCATGTGCGGAAATCACTGATTAGCATCTCATCTTTTACACGTTTTGCTGCTCCAGTTTAAGGGGAAACGCTGTTTATGACTCAGTAATATAAATCATGTGGTGTGATTCAGGCAGGGTTGGTAATTTAATCAACACGTCAGGAGGGATAAAGTATGGCCCGACTTCTAAGCTAGCTATTTCCAGCTGTCAGGGTTGACACCTATTAAACACAGCACATAATACAGGAAAGACAAGAGAAAGTTAGATTCTTAATACTCGCGAGGAGAACAGACAGAGATGTGCTTTCAGTTACAATCTCCTACTGCTCTGAAGCACATTTGCCTGCCCCTCTCTTTAGGATCCCTAATCACAGAGAGCGCTGTAACTCTAAGGGGAGGGGAAAAGACACTTCATCACACAGTCACAGCGCCAAGATTATCACTA